ATATAATTTCTTTAATTTTGTTCAACTTTCCAATTATTTTCGACATTCTATTCTCGTTTTATTTAAATGGAAAAAAATCAAATCCGCCTATGCTACTATCGTGACAACCGACACAAATGTTCAACTATTATTGCCAATTTTTATTATGATTTATGGTAACTAATGAACTTAGTAATTATTTAATTTTGCCTTAAACAAACAAGACGTACTATGCAAYATTTCTTGAAAAAATTTTTTTAAACATAAAACCTAAATGTAAATAAAAACATACTTGCGCCTAAACAATTGAAAATAGAAATGAAACATTTACATTACAGTTCTACCTGAAAATTACTGTAGAATCCAAATTTAACAGATAAAACATTAGCTTTTTTATCATGGAAAAATACTTTTTCACTGAAATTAATATTAAGCATTGGAACGTTTACAAAAAATACAAAATTTGAAGCRATTATTTCAGTTTAAATTGGAAGGACGGAGCCAGAAAAAATMGTCACACAAAAACTGTTCTAACTCTTCACAAAATCAAAAAAACAAAATTCCRATCATAGAACCTTTAAATGATTCCTCAGAACCTTAGAAATTACATCTGCATTATAAGTGTGTGAATTACTAATTCGACATTTTCATGAAAATCCAACGCGGACCCACCGAAAAATTACCATTGAGGTAAACGTTCATTGAACAACCGTATCAAACGTTATTAATCTGTTCAAGCAAACATTAAATGTTAACCAAAAACTGAGTTCGAAAGTGAGTGAGATAGGAAAAGTGGATTTACACGCCCACAAACAGTGAAGAAAGTTTTTGAAAAATTGGAGAAGAATCCAATCGGAAAATGGGCAATAAAGTAGGTCGTACCGTACTTCGACTCAAAACCGAGATGGGCTTCAAGAATTATAAAGTTCATACGACACCAGACAGAAATGCAAGTAACAATCTGGAAGCATAAAGGAGGTGTCAATGAAGAGTTCAGCACTAAGAAAAATTCAAAGTTTTCCACGAAGTTACTMGTGAGCCAAGCTTTGTGTAGCTGTAGGAAGCGCCGCAAATCTTTTTTAACGAATGGGACGATAAGCACCGAAATTTACGGTAGAGAGTGTCTCCAAAAAATATTTTTGCCATTCGTRAAACAACATAAAGTCTCAACTTTCTTTAGGCCAGACTTGGCTTCCTGTCACTACGGTAAGAGAGCTATAGAATGGTTCCAAATGAATAAAGCCATTTTGGTGCCTAGAGAATCCAATTCACTAAATTGCTCAGAGCTTAGCCCAATCGAACAATATTAGGCCTTGTTAAAACGAGCTTCGAAAGACACGAAAAAGGAAGCTAAAACCCTATCAGAATTCAAAGTAAAGTGGAATTTGCCAGAAAAAATCCAAAATTTCTGTCAAAACAAACTCGTAATAAAATAATCTTTAAAACTCTCTACACTTAAAACCTTATGGAATATGTTCAAAATGTTTATTAATAATAGCGACTACTTTAAATTGTTGATATTGAACAATTTCCTAGAATTGCAAAGCAAGAATTTGTAATTTTTTATCTAAAAACATAAAACCAAAAAAAACTGACTAAACTAAAGCGAAGAATAGAGTCAGTATTCAAGAAAGTTTAGTATTCCAAAAAAAAATTAATTAATCTTTAATAAATCTCAAAAACATCAAAGATCGTGGCGCTTTTCGAACAGTGTGCAAAGAATCTGTCTAGGAAGGACCAATTCCTTTAAAGATTTTCTTTAGCTTAATTTTACTATCGATTACGATCCGTTAAGTTAAGTTTTAGAAATATATCTTTAATAGTAAAAAAATATTATAAATTTTGCAAACTTTAAGCACTTATTTCTGAAGAGCACAAAAATCATTGGCCGGCCAATGATGAGACTGAATTCGACTGTTCTTATCCTATTAGCATCCCCTTTTCCGATGAACAAGTTTGATGCAAACTTGTTCGTAATAAGTAGGAAATTTGATGGAGCAATTTGTCTTCATTTGCGTCGTGCGGAAAATTATAATTAGCGTATGGGATGTTAAGATTCCAAACCAATCTTACATGCAAAAGTTTACGAAATAGTTCTGTATAGCTGAATTTTTCATAGTCCTGGAACCTTCGTCTAACAAAACCAACATATTCCATCAAATAACTTGAATGCCACAATAAGATCATATCCATTATCCATCCCCAGAAACAGAATTCGGATAACCAAATATTCTCATATGGAATCCAGATATGTCTAGACTGAAAAGGGTCTTATTAGATTATGTATGACAGGCTGGAATACTTTGGCTATACGCGTATTAACCGTAAATAAACGTACATATATGGATTGACAAGTGTTGAAGCTGTTTAGAAGCTTGTCACGTTTTAATTCAACCGCCTGAACATGTTTAACAGACTTTACCAGTAAATTGAAACTTGTTGGTCACAGTTCTTAGCTCATATTGGAACGCTTTCAACAACTAGTATATAATAATGAGCCCACATAAGCAGAGACTAGCGATGTCTCTACTCATATCTGGCTCTAAATAGGCTGAATATTTTAATTGAAATATTTAAGACTACGACCAAAACTCGATGCAGCAACAAATTGCTCATCACGTAAATCAACCCGCCAACAAAAATTATAAATGTGTTCTATTTTCCTGTTCGTATTTGTTAGTTAAGTATTGCATCGCACACACTAATTTAATTACAACTAGTTTCTATTAACATGAAAAATAGTGAAATAATAAATAGTGAAAAAAGTATAGGTATATCGTTATAGGCCAGTGAATGCATTGTTTAGGCGATAATTTATTGATCAATACAAGAGCAATTGAATTAGTTGTGTTGGAGATTTGGTCTTTCTGTGAGAAATTTGACCAGTTTTAAAAACATTAGTTTTTCTAACCACCACTTTATACCACTTTTCTTAGTAAGACCTAATACATGCTTGCCTAAGTAAATTACCTATTTTACGACTGCAAACTTCCATTGCGAATATTTTATGGGTAAGATCGGTGAAAATATTCAGAGCTGCATCTGTCATTTGTAATAATAAAATGTAAATATGTGCAACAACCGTTAGAGATAGGTATAAAAATTGCTACATAAATGGTGTTCAGAATATTTGAGAAAACTTGGCAGTGAAAAGTGAAGAATAGGCAATAAGGCACCAGCAATAATAAATCTAATGTGTATGATGGAAAAATGAAAGCATTCCAATGGGATGTAGTGAACCAACTGTATTGAAAACGATCCATTGCCATTGTCATCAAAAAATCTCTTATCTTTTTTTTTATTTCTGCATCATTGCAAGAATTTTCCAAATCGGCATACAATGTACATTTTAATTTCTCACTTTAAATATATGTCGTTCAGTTCATTTACACAAATTGGCTGAAGCATGTACATACATGCATAAGTACATTTTCAAAATACATAAGTTTAAAACTTGTTCAATTCGAATTTCTTTAGATAGAGGGGAGAGTGGGGAATACCGGCCTCCTAAGCAGAGTCTGAAATATCTCCCAGATTTTACCATTTAAAAGGAAACTTAAGGTTTAAATCAAAGATAAGACTCTTGGGAACAGAATAAATGTTTATTAAAAGTAAACAAAAACATTTTTCAAAAGCAAATATTTTTTAAAAACGTATTAGACGCCACGGAGCTGGAAGGTAAAAACAGCCGGGAGCCGCAATTACCCAAAATTTTTGTAACTAGCAAAAATCTTACATAGATTTTTTTTCACCTTGAATACAATAGGTGTGGGCCCATCCCGAATATCTCACACACCTGAGCCAAAGTTCCTGATTCTTCCCGGATTCTCCACAAATAATGCAAATATCTTCAGCAATTTCGTCGTCTGAGTTTTCCATTGTCTCCTCTTCTTCCTTACAGCCATTAAAAGTTACCTTAGTTTTCTTCTAAGAGTTGATTTTTGTTTTATGGTAATATTGATGTTTTTGTTTACTAAAGCGCTGGTGTCATCAGAGTTACCGAAAACCGCCTCTCCGTATTTTTACTCTCATTTTTTTTGGCTGTTTTCTGCAATTTTTCCTGTTTTGCATTTTCTTTTGCCTCCAAAAAATCTTTTATTGGAGTAGAAATAAATATTTGCAAGGGTTGCTTTTTCCCACCTTTTTTTTTCGTCTTTGGGTAGCAGTTTCAGAACATACAAGATTTTGTATTATTTCTCCAAATGATATATTTTGTCTTCTTTCATTTTCGTTTGTGTCGGCCTTGCAGCTTTGCAGCCTTACATCTTCTGCCCATTCTCCGGTTATTTTATCTTCTAATTGACCGTTTTCAAGAACCGGCTAAATGTGTAATTTATAAATTTCCAGCCGGGGCAAAATCTTCTGCATTAAAACATCAGGATTGACATGAAATACTCCCGTTACCTGAAAACTTTTGATAGCTTTTTCGATAGTTGCAACTCTTCTAGAAGCTTTGATGAATAAATCAGCGACGATACTAGGCGTAATTTTTTCTGCTGGATTATTCCTCATAAACTTATCGCATTCTGAATTATATGCTGTGTTCAAAGGACCATAAAAAGTAACGTAAAGCTGTTGAACACGGTGCGATGTATGTGGAGAAGTCTCAACAGAATCATTCCTCTTTCTTTGCAGAAGTTGTACGAATTTAACGAACAATGACTAGAGTGGTTATCTAGTAGCAACAAAATTGGATCTTCTTTTGAACTTTCAACACAATGCTCAAAGTGCTGGAACCACTCACAGTTTAAATTTTCTGTTATCCATCGTTATCTGAGCAGCGATAAATAGCTCATGAAACTCTGTTATTTTTCAAATGATCGGCAATTTTTTTTCTGGCATAGATAAACATTGGAGGAATGATGCATTCCAGATGCGCTAAATGAACATATGACCGTCGCAGTTTTCCCCATCTCCCAATTAGTTAAACGACCAACTCTTTTTTGCCCCTTTTCGGCATAGATCTTGCTTGGGCGTTGTTCTGTTGTGATGCCGGTCACATCACAGTTAAAACTTCTTGATGGTAAAAATTTTTACTTGTCCCTCACAGCACTCAGGTTCGCAAAAAATATTCCAGTTTCTTCTTTGTTGAAAGCCGTTACACGAATTATGCTGGTTGATTCAGGCTTTCTAAGTCTAATGTGTGGGTTGCGTCTTAAATATCCCTCTAACCAGTAACGACCCGCTAATCCTTTGTCTCTCTTAAATCGATTTTTCAAATAAGATATAAATGATTTGCTTCGATAATTCACGGTTAAACTCACGTTTAAATTCACTAGAACATGCACGTTTAAACTAACACTTTTCATATAGTAACACTTATCGGTATACATCAACCAGTCCAAAATTTATGTTACAGTGGGAGAAACTTTATGGCCGAAATTACCCCTACGGTCAGTATTCACCCACTCTTCCCGATATAAGTACTGTCGCCAGTTAAAACTTTTACATAAAGGGCGCTCAATTGAAAAATATTGAAAAAGTACGTTTCAAAGCATCTTTATTTGGCCTTGGTTTCGTAAAAGTAGTAAGTTAGAGACACTGTATATAAAACAATTTGATTTGGTTCCAACAGCTAAAAGATAGATTAATGATTTTTCCAAGACAGAGCTATGTATAACGCTTTAAAAAATACAATTTTGTTAGAAATATATGCGTTCCTGGAAATTTCTGGGCCATTTTACTCAAGAAATATGAAATTAGTGTAATTTCATGCATTTCTAAGAAAACTAGTATGCGTACTTCGGAGAAAACGATTCTGAGTACATGCCTTTCTTTCGAATTACACATAGATACTAGTTTTTCAAATTTAATTACTAACTGATCATGATATCGCCATTTAGAAATCATGGTCTTTTCATTCAAAAAAAAATATGTATTAGTTACGGTGGGCTTCAAATTCAACGGCTTTCTAAAATTTTTGACTGAGAATAGTTTTTATATCTTATTATACAGGATGTTTAAAACTAATAATATTTTATTAAGTAAAGTATTAAACATTCTGGGGCAATATGGCGTAGCCCAGAGAGAAAAAAATATACGGTCTTATCGACTGACGAAATAATTTGAAATATTATTATACGTAATATTTTTTATGAGAGGCCACAACTTTTCGCGCGAAATTTACTTATTAACTTTTTAATTATTAATTAACTTTTTATTTACTTGCGAAGAAAATTTGTGGCAAAAAGACATTTCATTACAAGTTTGTAGCTTTTTTTATTTTGTCACTCTCTGTGCTCTGTCAATTAAGCTGTTAAAGTTCCTGTTTTCGTAAAGATAAAGTAGGTATTCTGTTTTCACGCCTATAGGTATTGTTATTTGTTTTGTTTTGTTTTGTTTTGTTTCTTGATCGGGGAATACATACATACGCAACAAAATAAACAGATGTTGGCAGCTTTAAGCTTGTAATATAATTTTTCTGTACCACTTTCTATAAAAGTAAAAAAAGTTTAATTAAATTCGGGATGAAAATGTGAACGGTCATAGAAAAATGTATTTGTCTCAAATGGTTTAAGATAAAGAGAGGATTAAAAGTCGAAAATACTCATAAATGAGGCCGTACATTTTTCTGTCTGAGCCACGCGATATTTCCCGCAGACGGACTTACACTTTGGCAAAACAACATGATTTTATACATCTCGCACAATAAGTTAATTACAATTTTTATTGCTTATCTTGTAATTTCATGTTTGTTGTTTGTTTTTCAACAATTCATCAATCATATGCTTTACTGAAAAAAATATTCAAATCGGATTACGGTTTCAGAAAATATTAACTTTCAAAAACTAAGGAACATATAAGCTATACGATAAATTTGCGGCATAGTGTATAATGCGTTAGACATTTTTAAAACATATTGGGCATGCCGAGAATTATAATTTTAAAAGAAATTTCAATAAACTGATTAAACATTAAATTGTATGCCATTGCATTATTTTCTGTTTAGGTCGCCCTGCTGGAATTGCATACAACCGCCGTGTTCTAATCTCCAACTTAGTGATAATGTGCTTTTGCCACTTGTTGTCCACCGCTGCGTTTCTACCCTTTCTGTCTCTTCAGAGCAGTGTTTCGGTGTGGGCACAATCGTTGACCAACACGGGATTCGAATTCAATTCTGGATCTTGGCTCAGCTCTGAAATATTCCTGGTTGCAGCTGGATCAGCTTTAATTGCACCATGTTTTGTTAAAATATTGGGTACCAATATTGTGGCCGCTATATGTTACGGTAAGTTCATCAATGTTTTAATTGAATGTACCTATGCTTTAAATTGAAATTTTATCGTTTTGTTTCCGTTTTTATCCGCGACGAAGACACCGAAGATCCTCGAAGACACAAAAAATTGTATCTTCAGTATATTGAATACTTCAATATATTTGTGCAGGCAAATAGTTTATTCAATCAAACGAGATTTGTATGTAATAGTTCCTTATATGCAAGGTGTTCCACGAATATGAGGTACACTTTATCTTGAAAAGTATTCAATATACTGTGTTTCGTATTTTTTGTATTTGAAATTTCATACTACGGTTTTCGTTTGGATGTTTGCGTCTAATAGTATTCCCTGTTTTATTATTGAATTTTTTCACCAATTCGCTTAACTTTACCTTAAAACTCACTCAGAACTTTTTTACAATCCACTTTCTGAGCATTATTGGATTATTTAAATTAACATTTAAACACCGATTTGCAGGCAATAATTTTTTATATACAAATGTTTCAAAATTGTTTAAATTTAATTTGGTTTTCTACTCTTTAGAATATCTAAAAAAGACACAGTATGTTATTTGAAATTCCAATTGAAAAGTTAACTTGTTCGTCAGCAGCGAAAAAATTAAGCAAATGGTTGAACAATTGGAAATTTTCAACTAATGATCCAAACGAACACAATAATCGAATAGATCTCAACATCAGTCTGTTTAATGTTGCAGTTCCGTGTTTTTCAGAAATTTGCGCGGATAGCAATATATTTGTTAATTATTTCATAATAATGGAAGTAGTTAGAGATGCAATATATATATCTTTAAATAGCTGGTATGGAAGTATCCACTAAAATAAAAAGTAAATTAAATATTCTTTAAGTTTGCTTTTCGATTACGATTTATTATACAGGCTTTCCATTTCAATGCGAACCACTTTAAATAACTTTTGAATTTATGGAATTAAAAATATTAATCGAATAACTTCTGGTAATTTATTGATTTTACGTTTTTAAATTACTTTTTCAATTGTTGAAGATGTCCGCTGTTATTCGTTAGTAAATTGTAAAGTATGTTTCTAACATCTTTACCGACAACGTGTGGTTTTGTATACAAATTTTGTTTTTAAAAAACCCCATAAGAAGAAGTCTGGGGTAGCTAAATCTGGTGACTTTCCTAGAGAGAAGAGCTAGATCCCTTCTATTGCACCATTTCTACCAATTAATTTGTCGACATGCGATGCTCCAACTATTCTTTATATTAGCTGGAGATTAGGATAAAATCGCTCCATCTGGCTGTAAATGGAGATTTCCGTCATCAGGCTATCATCAAGTATGACTCTATTTTCATCCATTTGATTTTCTAACGATGATATAACAAGCAGCTGTTAGAATTTTTACAAGACGAAGATGCGACTATCAAGCTGAATTATCTTGTAAAAATATGCGGCTTATAATTTGGCTTCTTGGAATTCTTGTTCAAACCTTAACTTTGGACAGAAATTGGAAATTGAACTGAACAGCCGTCTCTTCATCGTCTGGAAAACGTGATGGTTTGCCATGAAAATGTGACCTTCTTCTAAAAAATGTTATTGTCGTATAATTTTCAGATAATTAGATGGAAAGATTGGGGCCATTCTGCTTGATACACGAAATTTCCAATTTCAACTAAATCAGTGGTATCCCGACAAAGAGATTAGAAGAAGGGATCAATAGAATGTCAAACTAGGTTTCCAGCTCTGACTCCGGTAGACGTTTTCTTATGAGACCATTTAAAAACCGTTTTTTTTTACGAAACTACTCCTAATAGTATGCAAAAACTGAAGACTCGATTGTCGCAAGAATGCAGACGAATTTTCCAATAAATGTTGGTTAGTATTCGTGACGATTTTGAAAACCGACTTTACTAATGGCTCAATAACGGACGAATAAAATAATAAATAAATTAATTAATATATAAAACGCGACACATTTTCACTTCTAAATCATTGGATAGAAAATTCATTTTATTGACTAATTTCTTCTTAAACATTTCATATGATATCCATGTGTTTGTCTAAGTGGACATAATTTTTGTATTTCGTTTAATTCTCTACAATTGAAAGATATTTGTTGGTTTGTTTTTTGGTTAGAAATGAAACCCCAGTATACTAAGAAACTGTATATAACACCGGAATAAATATGATGTCGATTCACTTTATGCTTCAATCTTGAGTGAACAAAATTACAAATAAAACGCAGTTCTAGAGCTAACTGATGGTTTATTTTCAGCTGGGATGGTTGTATTTTACGCAGCTCATATATACCCGGTAATTTACGTGACAATACCTACGAGTCTCCTTTTGGGAATTCTGCTCGGTCTTATGTCAAGTGCCCACATTTCGTTCCTCATGATCCTCACGCATCGAATAGCAGGACTATTCCATGAGGATGGTGAGGATGGAAGGTATTCTCGCAGAATTTGTATAATTAGGAGGATCGCTCGCGCTTTTCAGGTAAAATTGATTATAAAACTGTAGATTTTGAAACGTTACAATCAAGAGAATAAGACTAAAATGATTCTCTAATGATTGAAAAAAATAGGTTTAATTTGTCTATCTCATTTATTATTAAAAATTGACATACAAGAGGCAATATAGTACCTACCTAAAAAAGGTGATGCCTTAACGTATATTTTTTAATGAAACTACGTTTATATTTTACTGGAAAGTCTAGGTATCTCCAGTTCAGCAAATTTTCGTTATTTTTTTCAATTTCAGGTGCTCAAAAATGGACTTGATTTGTTTAGTTACTTTAGTAGTTAAAGTTAAATTACTTTAGTTTGAACATTGACATTTTTAAAGATATTTATTATACTTTTAACAAGCTGTACTTGTTTCTATTTCTAAGCATATACTATTAACACTGAAACTGGTGAGTTTTTCGGGTTTTTAGGCCGTCGTAAAATGGAATTTCTTTCTTTTTTACAACGGCCTAAAAGTCTAGAGATCGAAGATTCGATCGCTAGAAAAGATGTAAAAATGTTTACCATTGTCAACTAACAATATTCAAATTTCAATATTTATGTTCCTATTTAAATTTACTTGAATTTTATGTTGTAATACGTCGCAACATTGCAATATATTTAAATATAATAATCTATAACCGAGTAGTTAGATTAAAACAAAAAAAATAGTATATAGACATTGTACAACTGAATCATAAAATTATCTTCGACTCATATTCTATCAATACGAGGTGAACTAAGAAATAATGTCTTAGTTCGCATTTTTAGTTATTTTCCGTAAAAAGTTTGTACAGTTCTATCGATTTTTTGGTTATTATCCATATCTGATGTTTAATATCTAACCGAAAAAAATTAAATTATTTAAAGCTACATAATATATCAAAAAARGAAATATGTGTTCTATATACAAAATATTAGWTTTTWATAGGCAAATTTATATCACAACATTTAATATTTCTGATTTATATTTAGGGTGCTCATGACTTCGGATTAATACTGGGATCCGTGTGCTCGTTTCTSGTTATACATTTTACGATCAATATAGGAAGAGACGCGTCAACTTATGAGTTCGACAATGCAACACTAGTGACAAATGTAAGTGATGTAGTGATAAAAAAAACACGAAACTCGTCTAACACTGCTTCAAACATGATATGCTGTTACGTGGCCTGGTAAACCAATGAAAATAAAGAAATCCATCTAAATATTCAAAAAGTGTATAAAATGTTTCGACTTTGTACAGTTGTCATTCTGCTAATTGTTCTTATGTTAATATCAGGTTGATTTTTACTTAGTGCCCCATATTAAACGAGGCACTAATTCAACTCTACTTTAATTATTTAATAACTATTATTAATTGTTATGTTATGCAATAGGTTTTTTTCAAATATTATTAGAACTTGAAAGTTTTGGCATTATTATAAATAGTATGGTCAGATTGCGTAGAACGGCTTTTACAGTCGATTAAAACTCATAATCTAAATGGAATTCGAGATTTGTTTTATAAATATCAGTAATTGAAGGATTTACAAAAATATTCTGTTTCTTGCAATACCCAAAGGTTGTGGGGTTTTTCGTTGGTCTATTTTTTTTAAGTAACTGGATTAAGAATATGTGGTGAACAAATCATAAATTCGCGTTATACATTCCATAATCAGAAAAATTATATTGCAACTGTTTTATCAAGCTGAGTCGAAATGTGAACTTCAATTCACTATGGACTAACAAATATTTAACAAAAGTAATGAAAAAAATATTAATTTAAAAACAAGTAGAATGAATATGTAAAATAGGCATACACTTTCAATTTATTTGAATACATTACACGAAATTATTAAGTAAAGCATAGTTTTCTATAATTAAAATTTAAATCCTTGACATAAAGTTGCATATAGAAATCTCATTCAAATTAAGTCTATTGGTGAAGTTGCTTTTATATTTGAAATAGAATTAGGTGTTTTTTTCACTTAAAGTCCGTTTTACATAATTTTTGAGCAAACGGATACTACATCTGAGGCTGCGTTAATTTATGAGCTTAAAACTTGTGAAACTTCAAGTCTGCCATTGATTGACTTTGAGCTGTGATTTCGTTCCTCCTCATATTATGATGCTGTATACCAAATTCAGTTGATTTTTAATCAATTATGTTAGGAGTAGTAACTATTTTAAAGAAATACTTAAAGATTATAATTTTTTTTCCAAAAATTAATTAATTAATAAAGAAATTCGTACAGCAAAGTTGCTGTGAAATATAATCTAGTTAAATTTGCCAACAATTTCTTGTCTTGAATTTGTTTTGCTTGGGGAGAAACCGGCCAGTAAATGTTGCCTCTACGGGCAGTTTTTTACTTATTTGATATTTTTGTCAGAACTGTGTCTATATGGGAATAATAATTTTATAAAACTGGTATTGATTAACACGTGGAATCCAATAGTGATACTTTCTTTACCGTAAAACCCCCTTTAGGGCACAAAACCAGTTTTTGAACTCTAAAAAAAGGGCAAAGTGCAAAGTCTCATTGGAACTTTGCTTCACTTAAAAAATATATCTTGGATTGTTTTTGTTAAAATTCAAAAAACGATTTGGACAAAAATACACGTATTTAGACCGGTCGTATATGCAGCATTTTTTAAATATAAAATTCCACTTCTTTGTCATAGGTGGTTGGAAACTGTTTTAATTTTATGGCCTTTCGATAATCAATCATTTATGGCCTTCAAATTTAATTGAATGGTGCTGCGAAAGAAGGGCTAGTTAAGCAACTAATTTGATTTTAAAAAGCTGCCACAAATTTTTGTTGCATTTATAGGAACCACACAGAGGTAAAATTAATGGTGGTTCGTAAAATTAATGGTAAATGGAAGAATCGTAAAGTTCTTTTTAAATTTTTTTACCCGTTAGTTCCGTTGACTAAATACATGCACACTTTTGTAACATTTTATATCTAGCTAGTTAAAGGTAACTACGTTACACGAATGCACTATAAGGTTTGCATTTTGTAGGATTGCACTTCCAATAGTGTTCTGCGGAACTGTTCAAATCAAACGTATCCTGTAACATCTTCAAGTCCCTACGACTACAGTTCGTTTCTAGACGACATTTTTGATCGCGGAGAAGATGGTCGCTTATGTGGAGCTCAAGCTTGTCCCATATTTTCATTGGGGAACTCCTCGCTCCACTCAGGCTTCAAAGTTCTTCCCATAGAGTCTTCCAAGATACTCATTGGAGTTTATGGAGGAGCCTGCGGGCTGGCTTTTTTGCTGGCTTCGTTGGGATTGGACAGCATAAGAACATTGGTAAACCAATTGTATTCTACACGGCTAAATAATTTGATTTGGGACTTTAACGAAAAAGTGAGTTTATGTCTAAATTTCAGACATACCAAGATCCTCTAGATAGAGGACTGGGTCTTTCGGCTCTCAGAGCGATTCTAGATAGTTTTAGAGATCCAAGACTGCAACTGACTGCTCCACTAGCTGTTTTTATGGGCCTCGAACAGGCTTTCATTTATGCCGACTTTGCCAAGGTAATTAGAATAGAATTGAAATAAAGAAAAATCTAACATTTATTTTAAAAAAAAGATAAAATTGATGTGAATATTTTGAACACACATTTGTAACATGTTATTAAGTTTTTTTCTAGTTCACGAGATACCAGTATTTTTGAGTGCATAACAAATTTTGTTTATAATGGTATTCATTCAATTGAGTCAATGCTAATTTGAACTGTATTTGGTTTATCGGTGCAATTTCTTGTTGCAATATTGTTCACTGCACTATTATAGGTTTCCTTTGTCACGCGTATTCGCATTATTATTCAATGATAGTTGTTTCCATCAGGATCAGTAGATAACTTGTTAACGACGACAAATACCGAAAAAATAACAATGCAATATAATATTTAAACTAAATAAACACTTCAAGTTTTAAGAAACTGAATGTCCGTGGCGCTTCATAAAAGGGATTGAGTCAGTAAATGTGACCATAAACCTCCAAAAAATTGCATCTATGATTTATGGCAAGCAAACAGGTAGAAAAATCTATAGAAAAAACATCTTAAAACGTTAACACTGTAGAAATCTAAGGCAGGGTGGAATTCGTATTTATATGTAAATAGTGACATAGTGAAATCAATCTGGTGAATCCTCTATAGCATCAAATTCCGCTCTAGATCTGTAGCAGTGTGGACTGCGTGTTAAGTAATTCATAAATTTACATTGACAGTGAAAATGTGTGTGATTGCGAAGACTTACATTAAAATCCTGAAAATCATGCTATTGTTATTTTCTTACGTTTTCTGTAACTTTCTAAATCAAAAGGATTATCAACCTGTGTTGTCTCTATTTTTCAGGATAACAATTAAATATTTGATCCAAAATTATTGAACTTTTAATAAAATCCGTACCGCATTAAGTACGGTCTATAGGGGAGAATGGGAGAAAATGCAATTTTTCAGTTAAACACACTTATTTTTCAAATTTCAAATGTTAAGGAATTCTCCAAATGCACAATTTCAGTTTTCTTGTCTTGTTTTCTGGTTTGGATGAGGCGTCAAACGTTATCTACCCGGTTCTGCCTTACGTTTTTAATTACTCGTAAATAATTGTTGTTGTGTCGATGTTTTTCCTTCTTGGGGATTCGGTCTGAGCATTGGTGAGAAGCAAAAACTTTTTTAGCTACCAAGCTTACGGAGATTTATTTTCCCGCCTTCTTCAGGGTGCTAATTGCTTTCTACGAAAAGTCTGAGAACCCTCCAGAATCTTATTATTTTAGCAATTTGGTGAGACATGTCTTTCTCATGGCTTTGAACGTTGTTATTTTGCTGGGTTCAATAGTTGGCACATATGAAAAATTCTCAAATAACTGTTTGTAGAGAGGCAAAGGGACAAAATAGCGATAGCATATTCTATGACGAACTGAACATTAAAATGATTTATTTTAAAATATAAATTTAAAGTTTTTTTTTTTATAAGACTTTCAAAGTCATAAGAACGAGATGTCTGAGCAGATTGTAAAAATAATAAGATTCTGGAGGGTTCTCAGACATTTCATAGAAAACAACTAGCACCCTGAAGAAGGCGGAAAAATAAATCGCTGAAAGCTTGGTAGCTAAAAAGTTTTCAAGAAGGAAAAACATCTGCCAATTATTCGTGTATCGGTCAAGGAATTGAACTCGTAAATATGAAAAGTTACAGAAAACAAGACTAAAATACATTTTGATTGTTCAGATTCTTATTTCAGATCTTCTTATTCTTATTTCAGTTTACAAAGTATGCAGTTACAATTATACAGCCTAACTGAGGATCACACTATATATTATATAATTTAAGAATGAGAATGAGTCGATTGATACATATGCTGAAGAGTATCGATACTGTCTAGCTTGTTATAAATAGTTTTAAAAAATCAGCTCTTAGTTTACAGACTACCAGCAAGATAGATGCTTCTAAAATAATCCAAACGTTTTAATGAAACTGAGCTAATTTAATTTTATCTTCTATATTTTAAAACATGGTCAAATCTATGTTCTGTATTGCAACTCATTTGAAATAATTTGATTACAGTTTTTTACTTGTCCTGGCATTTCCTGCTCAGCTCACCCTGCTTAATCATTTGACCATTAATGGTATAATTAAAATATGCACATTTTAGTGTTCTTTCACAAAGTTTCAAATCTTATAACTTCACAAATACAAAATGTTTTTTGGATTTGTGAAACATTTTTTGGTCTAATCTCTTTTCGAGTACCATGAAATTTTCCATGCGAAATAGGCATTGTAGTCTCATTCTGCAATGTTAAATGTTTCCATGCATTTTCCGATTTTTCTGTTAGCTGTCGCATATATGTTTTTTTATGTTTTGTGCATTGTTTTTCATTGTATTATATAAAACCCAGATTTCATAATTTTTTAATTTAAATTTCGAGTTCAATAAATTTCCGGTAATTTCGGTAATTAAGGAGCAATTATATGAATATGCGCAAAAAATGTGGTATTTAGCCTAGATGTATTTTACGGTAAAAATTTCCCACGTTTATCTCTCATTTTTTTCGCTTAGTATTTCCGCATTACTTCTTTTAGAAGCACTTAATCCTCTCCGTCCAGTTCAAGTTGTAAACATTGATTTTCCAATAGCTCAAAAGGAAACTTTCATGCTATTGAATAATAATGAAAATATGATTAACAATAAATTCATTTTTGTCACATTAAAAAAATAATTTTGACTAAGTTGTAGACGTGGTGGATAACTAACTACAGGATCCGCTTTCGCGACCAGTGTTGTCTGAATATTCATTAATATTGTGTGTTGCTATAGGCTCTTAAACTGTAAATTTTTAAATAAAACTAAAAATATAATGCTACTCGAATTAAATAAATAATTATTTTCAGTCGTACGTAGTTTGCACGTTAGGAATTCATCGACTCAATTTAGTATTTCTATCGATGGGACTGCTCCAATCAGTTGCAGCCTGCACATTAAGTATGCTATTGAGGACAATCAGACGATACTATGTGGTTGGTGAGTAATTTGCAGCTTTTCCAGTGTATTTTTGCAACTACGGTTATCCCCCAACACTATAAAAAGTATGAAAAAGCAGCCAAACGGAACACCTAAAAATTAACTAAAAAATGATAATATTAAATGTTTCAGCTGTAGGATTTGCTTTTCAAATTTGCCTGATAATGGTGTTGGTGCTATGGAAACCCATAGAAGACGATCCCGCATTGTTCTATGTGATATCGGCAGCTTGGGGTGTATGCCATGCCATTTGGGAAATGATCAGTTTCAGTAAGTATAAAATGGTGATGTTGAAATCTTCACCATATTTTCACGCACTTGTTGTATTATTACAAAATTCAGTGTTCCTTCAATCAATCAATTCAATCAATCCTTCAAGGATATCAGAAGAAAACCAATATTGGAAAAGACTTATTTAGTTTTATTTGCTGAATTTATTTACTTAAGAGAACTTTTTTCTAAGACCAAGTTTCTCATCTGCTATCAAACAATATTGCTAACCCATTCCATAAAACCTGTACGTTTAGATATCTGAAACACTAAGAAACACATAAAATCGCATTTAAATTGATGGAAATTATCCTTGATTGGGTTTGTAGAAACATTTCAAAAATTGAAAATGCTTCTGAAGTAGTGTTAAATTTGAAGCTGAAAATTTGCCGAGTCTTATTAAGTTAAAGTTTTATAACTTTTAAACTAATTAACCAATTCCAATATGCTTTTATTGTAATGTGTTGCTTAATTATCTGGCTATTATCTTAAGAGTAACAAGAATTGATTCCAATCAATTTCAAATTGCTTCGTTTTGGGAACATTTTATTTTTTCGTTTTACTTTAACAAAATTATAGCGTATTCACCAATTGCAGTGTGTTTTCATGATTAGATTTTTTATAAGCCAAGAATAAAAAACAATATTTGTAGAATATATATATATATATCGGGTGTGGCATACCCGAAATAAAATGTATAATTTCTTGCTGTGGTCTTTCTAGTTATAAACGTTGATACATATTTTGTAAATTTTTGAGATAAAGACATTATTGAAAATATGAATCGTTCAAAATAAGATGCACTTGAAACAACAACAAACTACATTTTCGTTTCTAGTAAAACAGTAGCACACAGGGCGTTTTAAAATAACTGAGTAAAACATGGCTTGGTGTTTTTCTCATTATTTGTTGTATGTTATACAAAATAACAAGTTATCATTTACGACGCTTGAAATAATAGCAAAATAGTTAAACTATAAACTCAAAAAAAGGACTAAAATCGTTTTCTAGATATAAAAAATATGATACTTTCGACTTGAAAATGTAAAACCCATAATTTTCGTTAGAGCTGATCAAGCTATCCGGTGGTGCAGATATCGTCTGATTTTGTTGAAGGTGTGGAATCTAAAATGTATGAAAAAATAATGCTGATTTTTGAAATGCAGTATACAAATTAATAAAATTATAAGACATTTCGCTAAAACATAAAAATAAGTTTATTGTTAAAATTAAGAACTTTTGCTAAAAAATGTGTCTGCCAACAATTTTACAATACATTTGATTTCCGAAACCTGTTTGCCTGCGAATCGATGACATTATTAAAATTAAAAGT